AAAAAATAGTGCTTAATTGCAAGCATATTAAAATGGGTATTGTCAATGAAATTATCTAATCGTATAGTTAAGATAAAGATTATATGTCCCGCTTTCTGTCGTGACTCGGTAATATATCATCATCATCATCATCATCATCATCATATTATTATTATTATTATTATTATTATTATTATTATTATTAATTGTGCAATACAGTTTCAACATTCTTAACTGGACCATAGCTGACATTAAGCGAATGGACGCCAAACCGAGAAAGCTTCTCACTTGCCACCGCATGTATCATCCCAAGGCTGATGTTGATCTGTGTGTTCCCAAATCCGAAAGAGATAGAGGATTAGTTCAACTAGAACAATCTTACAAAACTACAACAACTGGCCTTCAAAGATAGTTAGAAACTACAGAAGACTGGATGATGAAGAACATGAAATTAGTAAGCGATTTATTCAGTAAAAAAAAGAAGTAAACAAGTTCAAAATTGAGTTTCAAGTGGGTGAAGAAATACAAATAAAGCACAATACACCGACTGAAGCTGCAAAATACTTAAAAAAGAAAATGCAACCGACTAGATACAGAAAGGATGGCAAAATAAACTTCTTCACGGCCTATACTCTGTCTGTATTAAACAAGCTGATATGGACCCCCCGTACCCTTCATTGGCTACGTAGTTCAGGTTTAAAAGCTGAAACCAAAGGTTTTATTCTTGCTGTACAGGATCAATGCTTTCAAACTAGAAATTACGCAGCACACATACTGAAAAACTGTGCTAGTCCAAAATGCAGATTCTGTGATATATATTCAGGAACAATTGACCATCTTGTATCAGGTTGCACAGTATTGGCACCTACTGAATATAAAGTACGTCACGACAGACTGGGTCAATATCTGCACAGGAAAATCTGCAACACTTACAGAAAGAAAACTGCAAGAAATTGGTATGAACACCACCCAGATCCTGTTACAGAGATAAGACCTATAACAATTTTATTGGTCTTTAGAATACGCAGAGACAGAACAATCAAAGTTAATCGCCCTGACATTGTGATTAGAGACCGCAAAGACAAAATATGCCTCCTTATTGAGATGAAATCTCAAAATACAAGGACTTTGAAATTGAAATCTCAAAAATGTGGCATTATCAATTCCAGTTGTAGTTGGAGACCTCGGATTGATTGAAAAAATTTCCAATAGACTCACTGAAGGAATCCCTTGTAGCCCATGCCTTAAAGAAATAAAAACAAAAATTGTACTCACAGGTACAGCACACACATTATGAAGAGCTTTATCGATGTAAAATATGTGTGGCATGCCATTTCTAACCTTAAGTCTTTGGTCTGGACCAGGAAATAAGTAAGTGTACACTAAAGGAATAATAATAATAATAATAATAATAATAATAATAATAATAATAATAATAATAAATTAATTTTTGTTAAGGCAACGCATATAAATTATATACTCCCAATCCAGACACCATCCACGTAATCTGAAAGAATATCTGTTTGAGAGTGTCTGCTGCCGTCCCAACAGAACACAATAAAATTAAAACCTGAAAAATATTTGTAAAAATTGGAAAGTGACAAAAGTTCCCATAATTATTGTCATGGTTGCAACAGATACGAGTTTTGCAAAAAGAGTGAAGGAAATGAAATCCGAAAGCAAGACATGAGACGATTCGGACAATTAAAAAAAACATGCCTTTGTTCCTTCAGGATGTACGTGATTATGACTTTCTACGAATGCCTTGTACTAAGATAATACAATCGTTTCTTGATGAGTTCCCCAACGGTGTGGAAATCAGTTTACTTTCTCATAGACTGATTTACAACAAACGCTATAGATCCCACCTTATACTGGTATTTATTCCATAGCTAAAGAAATAAGAGATGGATTCATGCAAGCTTTTCCCAAGGGAATTAGTACGAATGTAAACGGAAACAGAATCGATCGTGATTTGAAAAACGCTTACCATTTTTCACTTTCCGCGCCGATAAGCGTTACACTATTTGTACATCATTTGGGCAATAGCAAAACTAAAGTCAACAAGAATATAGAATTGAAGGTTCAAATACAAGCGCAAACATTGCATAATTTGAACATGAAAAATATCAAACAATAGGCGTGACAGGTGTATCAGAGTACAGTTTATATGCAGAAAATGCAATAAATAAGATATCCAGGCTCTGTTAAATGGAAGGTGGAAATATTGAAAAGGGAGGTTAATGATGTGAGGAGACATGTTGTCTCTTGATCCCCAGAGACTAAAGGTTTTTTTTTTGTAGCAACCGGAGATTAAGGGTTGAGTTGTTGCGCTTTTGAGTTAAATAAAATGTGAGTTTTTTTTAATGAGATTCATAAATAATTCTCTCCAACAGAAAAGGTAAATGTGAAAAACTATCACGAGTTTAATTCGACAACTTGTTTATCTTATGAGCCGTGTCTGTCTCACAGGAAAGGAGGAGGCTGTTTGTAATCGCATGCGTGAGTCATTCGTTCATTGTCGGTCTCTCCGTTGGATAAATCCTGGTCGACTGAAGGCTCAAATCAATCCATTAAAAAGAATCGAAGACACACTAAAGAATGCAAATGCACACGAAAAAGTTTCTTTGTAGGAAAGATACTTTTGTGCTGTTGGAGATATAAAACAATGTTTAAAATAAGAGAAAATAATATGGACATTGAAGGAGAAAGAATAAAGATGAATCGAAAAATGGAAACTAAAAAATGATAATCGTAAATGCAACGAAGTTGAGAAATCAAAACACGGACGACAAAAATGAAGCTTTCAAACAGAAAGTGTAATAATCAAATGAAAGAAAATCGTCAGAGTTTAAAATAAGGAAAACAACAGCAAAAAAGAAGCATTTTCTCAAGGTAGAAAAGATATGTCGATTTTTCAAGGAAGAATAAAGACATTGTTTCTACTTAATTTTTTCAGGCATCATTCACAGATTTTCGGCGTGTCGAGAAATTGTTTGCATCGAATAAATGGGAATCGACATCAGATAACAAGGATTGAAAATTGCAAATAAAGTGATGATTTTACAAGTATTCATAGTTATTATAGGTTTTAAACTGCTTGTGTGACTCGGTAATATAATCTCCCGAAGCATTTTTTAAAATTCTACATAAAATCAAATCGATTTTCGATAACACGTTCTTTATTTGTTATAATACATTTCAGAATCAGAATTTATTAAGTTGAAAATAAAGTTGTGTCATATTTGAAGATGGGAATTAAACAAATGTTTCTTTGGCCATAAGTGATATATTTACTCAAAATAAGATTTCTCTTTAGATATCATAATCCCATCTATTTGACAAATTGTTGATCCCTCTAGTTTCAATGCAAACATTCAAAGTCAGTTTTAATCTCTTCGTAATAAAAAATAATTTTCTCTCTTTTAAAGAAAGGTTTCTTAGCAATTCTTCAATGATGAAGAGAGGGCAACGCGTAGATTAAGCAGAGTTCGTAAGATGATGAGAGAACACATTTTTCCCCCCAATTCTTAAAAGGTGTTCTATGATCCAATTGTGATTGGAATCGAACTGTTTTGCTAAGACGTGTGCAGTTTTCTGAGAATTTTCCCCAATCACGATTTGAAGAAGCTCAGTATTGACAGAAGTCGGTCATATCAACCGAGAGGACACTTCAAAAAAATTCTCGATCGAAACTAACCAAACTATAGTTGATATGATCGAACAATAAAAGCTTCATTTTCATTGGCCGAATAAATAATTTAACCACTTATGTTGCTGAAAAGAATTTTTTTAAATTTATACAGCATGAATGGTTTGAAAGGGTCTGATATAAATTCAGTTCATTTACGAACTCTGACGTTAAGTAATCTAAGAAACAAACGAAGACAACATCAACATGTAAAAATCAGTGTTTATTTTATCACGAATATTTAAAAGGAAAGTACCCTCAAAGTTATCGCGTAAAAAGGTAAGACGTTCTTTCTTGGCTAAACGTAAGCGATTGGTAGATACTAATTTCAGTCTTAGTGAGTCTAAAGCAAATGAAGATTGTTGTGCAGACTTCTCTTTTAACTTGAACACCAACCAGTATCGCTAATGACGATGGCATGAGTTGCAAAAGTAATTCTAACATATGCCTATGAATAAACATATGTAGCTGAATGCGCATATATATATATATATATATATATATATATATATATATATATATATATATATATATATATATATATATATATATTATAAAAGGACAAAGTACGACAATTATTTTAAGACATTTTTATGTTTATACATTCTTTTTTATAGATACATTTACCGGCCTGAATGTCCGAGAAATTTTCGGAGGACGAATATTTTCTGTGAAAGTTTCTCGGACATTCAGGCCGGTAAATGTTGTTTAATGCTGTTTATCATAAACAGAGCATTTACTTAAATATTTGTATCTATAAAAAGAATGTATAAACAGAAAAAAATGTCTTTATATATATATATATATATATATATGTGTGTGTGTGTGTGTGTGTGTGTGTGTGTGTGTGTGTGTGTATGTCTCTATGTAGGAATTAATGGATTTTATATTTAATCCAGCATTATTTTCTTTAAACGTTATATTTTAGTGTTTGAATAGATGTCCTGTTTTTTTTGTTTTTTTTTGTTTGTTTGTTTGTTTTTGTTTTTAAAGAGAATTAAATACTACTTCCTGTCTGTGCATTCGACGATCTTATTAAAGAAAATATGCCCCCTGGCAAGGTTCAGAATTGCTCTACCCCGCCCCATGCACTTGATAGTAAAAACCACCATCTGATCCGATCAGCCACAGAGAGCTTAATCACCCACCATTCAATTTTAATGACTTCACATCTTTATGTTCAGATATGTTTAAAAACCCATATCTGCCTGAAATTTCATATTTCACATGTTGCACATATTCTTTATTAAGACTCTCGAATGCACAGGCAGGTAGATGTACGTTATACTGTTTAACAAAAGGGCACGAGAACACCGTGAGAACCTATTACATGCACTCGATCGAAATCATCCCAATTGTGGACGATGAACAACTCGATGGTATTGAAATTAACAATCTTTTTTTTTGTTGTTGTATTTGTCTACCCGCACTCCCCTTTCTGTCACTGGGCCATTTTGTTTCTTTGTGCCCTTCTTTTTGTTGTTGTATTTGTCTACCCGCCCTCCCCTTTCTGTCACTGGGCCATTTTGTTTCTTTGTACCCTTCTTTTTGTTGTTGTATTTGTCTACCCGCACTCCCCTTTCTGTCACTGGGCCATTTTGTTTCTTTGTGCCCTTCTTTTTGTTGTTTTATTTGTCTACCCGCCCTCCTCTTTCTGTCACTGGGCCATTTTGTTTCTTTGTGCCCTTCTTTTTATTGTTGTATTTGTCTACCCGCCCTCCCCTTGCTGTCACTGGGCCATTTTGTTTCTTTGTGCCCTTTTTTTTATTGTTGTATTTGTCTACCAGCCCTCCTCTTTCTGTCACTGAGCCATTTTGTTTCTTTGTGCCCTTCTTTTATTCTTTCCACTTTTCTATTTATTTCTGTTTATCTTTTCCATTTAAAATTGTCATTCATTTATTTTATTTTGTCTTCAATTTTAAAACTTCTCCTTACTTTATTTTCTGTTCTCTCATTCTTTTCTCTACCTTAATATCGCCCACTCTCTTTGTATCTCTTTCTCACTCTCACACACTCTCTCTTTACCTGTCCTTCAAAATTGGCCCAGAATTTCGTCCTCGACTAGGAATTTATTTCGTAGATAAAACATTCACCTCTTTATAATAAGTTCACCACTTTATAATAAATCGTGATTTAAATCGTTGATATTAAAGATTTTTCTTTTCAATTTCCGGATTTTTCTTTTCGATTTCCCGCCCTTTACTAGTTAAAATGGTTTCCGATCTTTCTTTCTTCTATTTCCTTTTATTAATTAATTCATTCGCGGTTTTGACATAGCCGACAATATTTCCTGAATTCACATTTAATTGAGACAATTCTTTTCAAAAGACGGAAATTTGAAAACATATTTTGAGATTTTTAACGGATTTTGAAATTACATTTTCGGATACTTGTCAACAGCTATTAACATCGACTTAATTCGATTTTAATTTCCTCAGTTCTGAATCTGCAAAGTTTCATGATTAAATCCCTCACCACACCCCCAAAATTACTTAAGAGATTTTTTTATGTGTCTTTCTTTTCTAAAAAGAAAACAAAAAACAAAGAAAACAAAATAAATAACAATTTATTAATGATATAGATAACAACTGTATTTAATTATTTTAAATATTAATGAACTTTTGCATGCTTAATATATATAAATATTATATATCTATATAAATATTATATATATATATATATATATATATAAATATTATATATATATATATATATTTGTGTGTGTGTGTGTGTAAATGTATGTGTACATGTGTGTTTAAATGTATGTGTACATGTGTGTGCGTAATCTTGCTGAAATGCCCTAGGCAAGTTGTACTGAGTAATGAGTAAAATCTGGCCCAATGCGCAAACATTAATTTTCTTAAGTGATTCGGAATCGGCCCTTGAGATAAAAAAAAGCAGATGATAGCTTAAGGTGTGAAACTAATAATCAGTATGCAATGTTCGTTTCTATTCCCACATTTTTACTGAAAACACTTCCCCATAATATAGCAAGCATTTAAGAATATATATATATATATATATATATATATATATATATATATATATATATATAATTTCTTAAGTTAGCATACGAACGAGGATTTCGGAGGGTCTTCCACGTCCCATGCTCTCAAATTGTTAATGAAAGCCTTATAACAGACAACCATATTTTGTCATACCGTCTGTAAACATTTCTTTTGTACTGTTTCAATCAGCGGAAAACGTTGATTCGTTGTCGCACTACGGCTGATTGTGCCTCCCATTGACGATGTTTGAATCACGTGTATTTGGGTGTATCCAAATTCTCTTCTCTGAGGTTCTACATCAAAATCCATTTGGAAGTCGATAGTCTTTCATCCTAACCAGCTATTATAGCTTCAACACTAATCCTGACTGAGATTGAAACCACAACGTGATTGATGAAGACTTTCTATCACTGATGGAAGGGCTCCGATATTGCTTTATGGTTGGTGGATTGAGAACCCCCGTGTCTGCGCAATGAAGGTGGAGCACGGCTTTCAACAGTGGATTTGTTTGATATAGCCGCCTCGTGATGCCATGTCTGGAAGATACTTTAGATCACTGGTTTCTTATTCAGTCTCTTAGACACCGAGCTGACTGACATATACCTAGTTGGTTGACCCTACAAAATAGTGGAATACCGATTATTTGAAGTAACTATATAACCACCTCCCCAAACTGTATCGTGGCAATTGGAGACTTGAAAAAGAACTTGCGATATATGTTTAATTTTAATCAACCTCAATTCAATTTTTAACCGGAAAAATTCTTACCAAAAAAATTATTATCATTTCCTTTAATTTCTGTTGTATAAATATTTCCTACCGCGTCTCAACAAGAGACCTAATGGCTTCATAACATGTTCTACGGATCATTTTTGTAAATTTCTTTCTTTTTTTTACAAAGAAAAAGACAACAGAAACAATTAAGATCACACACAATATACATAAATAAAGCTCTTTGTAACTTGTGAGCTGTACTTGGGAGTACAATTCTTTGTAATTTTTAAGGCTTAGAATCCCTATCAGAACGTTTTCCTGTCAATCCGAGGGCTCCAACCACAACTGGAATTATTGACGTCCTCATGTGCCACATTTTTTTTAGATTTCCACCTGTATTTTGATAGATTTTGGAAGCTCTTCAGACACGTTACAATCTACAAAGACTGTCATGTCAATAAGAAAGCACATTCTGTTTTTTTTTGGGGGGGGTCTTTGATCCTCGATGTCTGGGCGATTAGCTTTGATTTTTCTGTCTCTATGTATTGTAAAGTCCCATCAAATTATTGCAGGTCTTATCTCTGTAATCGGGTCTGGGTGAAGTTTTTACCAGTTTCTTGTAGTTTCATTCCCATAAAAGTTGCATATTATGATGATATTGGCCCAACTCTATCATACCGAGTTTTATATTCAGTGGCTGCTAATATTGTGCAACTGGATACAAGATGGTTAATTCTTTCTGGATATTTATCATAGAATCTACATTTCGAGTTAACGATTTTTTAGTATTCATGCTTAGTATTATTATTATTATTATTATTATTATTATTATTATTATTTTAATCTAGTATTTAAGGTGAAAATAAATAATTTTATCTCTGTTGCAAAAATTCGCCACGTTTACAGAGAGAAGACATATATTTAAATCTCTTTCTCGGCTTTGACGACCATCGAATCAATGTAGAACTGACGTATCTGATTACAAATAACGTGTTCGATTTCTTAATTCTACCAATTTGATACTTGCCACGAATAAGAGCAGATAATCATCTTCTTGCCATTGTTATTGTTGATGTTACCACTGTTTATTAGACGGAGGTTATTCGAGTGTGTTTCCATCCACTGAAATAAAATCCTTACTGTATTTACCTATCTCGGTCTTTCTTTCCTCACAAGTTGCTTACATCTATTAGCCACGATGTATCAATCAAAAACAAGCTACTCTATCTTCATAGTCCTGGATTTATCTGAAGACATGCGGTTGTACTACGGAAAATATCATCGACGTACCGAGTTCAAATTCCAGCTGTGGACATTTTATGTACAACTTGCATTGATTCTGTTGGGAAAGACATTTATTCATCCAAATAGGGATTAAATAGCCTTGACTGCCAACCAATCTAGGAGAAGATAGAATATAAATTTAGAACAATAGAGAATGTAGTGGGATATTTTGTTACTATTTATAGCAAGAACAATCGTCCCGATGAACAGTTTACGCATATTAAACTAAAAGGTTGGTCATGATCGCCTAATTCCTGAAGCAACATGGCACATATCATTTATTATGTAATTATTATTTATAGCAGTACGTTTATTTAGATAAGTTAAAGATAATTTTTTTCCACACAAACGTGGCCGCACAAACAGAGGGAGAAAGAGAAATTGTATATGTAAGAGAGAGAGAGAGAGATGATAAACATAATAGACTATTCAAAAAAGTAATATTTTTCATAAAGTCGCATTCTCATTCAACTCCGCTGTTATATATATATATATATATATATATATATATATATATATAGTTTCCTTGCACCCGTAAAAGATTGTGTTTTTTTTCAAATCAGTTAGCACTATCGGACATATTACCACCACCTTAAGTAGACGTCTCACATTTCACTTATCAGATCAAAATTCCATAATAAAACAACTAGCTCCCCACGGTTTACAAGATCCTTTATGGAAAATTATGTTTGAAAGCAAAAAAAAAAAAATTATATTAATCAAATTACTGAATTTTACCGAATTAATCAAATTACTGAATTTTACCGAATTAATCAAAACTGAATTTTACCGAATTAATCAAATTACTGAATTTTACCGAATTAATCAAAACTGAATTTTACCGAATTAATCAAATTACTGAATTTTACCGAATTAATCAAATTACTGAATTTTACCGAATTAATCAAATTACTGAATTTTACCGAATTAATCAAATTACTGAATTTTACCGAATTAATCAAATTACTGAATTTTACCGAATTAATCAAATTACTGAATTTTACCGAATTAATCAAATTACTGAATTTTACCGAATTAATCAAATTACTGAATTTTACCGAATTAATCAAATTACTGAATTTTACCGAATTAATCAAATTACTGAATTTTACCGAATTAATCAAATTACTGAATTTTACCGAATTAATCAAATTACTGAATTTTTACCGAATTAATCAAATTACTGAATTTTTACCGAATTAATCAAATTACTGAATTTTACCGAATTAATCAAATTACTGAATTTTACCGAATTGGGACCGAATTAATCAAATTACTGAATTTTACCGAATTAATCAAATTACTGAATTCTCACTGTGAAAAAATGCTCTCTACATAAAACATCTCTATTCCACTATCAACCTCACCTTATTGTAATGAAGGTGTTGAATATTTATTTTAAACAATAGAAAGACGTCCACTTGAAATCCAGCCAGGCGAAGGCTCGGAATAAACGCTCCTACTATACCGTTTCAAGTTCAATTTGGGACTAATCAAAGTCATTTTCGGACTAAGTAAGTTCATAATGAAATAGTCATTTCAGAATGGCACGTAGCAAATTCAAAATGAAATAAGAAATTTTGAATTGGGACTAAAGCAGATACATTATGGGAAATGTTTCGAATCTCCGCGTTTCAATAAACAAATATCATGGATTAAAAAATCAACTGGGCGGTAAATCAGAGAATTAAAAATCGAAGGGCAGCGTTGCGTAGTTTTTACTATCAATTCATTACAAGAGGCCATTCTTGAACGGATAAATTTGTGTCAAAGTTAGAGTTTCTGGCACTTTCATTGGTAAGACAATCAGGGAGAAGAGAGGAAAGAAAGAAAAAGATGGATAGACTGTAAATAGTGTTAAAAAAAAGAGATAATAAGAGAGAGTTATTCAAAATGAAATGATTTGTTGGACAACAGGGCAAATCTCGAAAGTCCTAAGAAAAAGCAGCAAGGAAATATTGAATGCATATATCAAGACCGAGTTGGAAAAAAGATAGTGAGAGATTGTAAGCGCTAAAAGTTGCATCCAAAAAACATAGACCTTTCATGAATTTTCTTGATTTATTGATTGTTCCTAGAACATAAAATATTTCAATAGTAAAGTTTAGTTGAAAATTACTATTTTATCATGAAAATATTTCATTTTAAAGTCTTTTTTAGTAAAATAATTGCTCAGTCCCAAACTGGATTTGCCTAATCCATTGCTAAGTCCCAAATTAAATTTGCTTATTCCATTTTGAATTTGTTATGTCCCAATTTAAATTTGACTATTACATTTTGATTTTGCTACATCCCATTTTGAATTTGACTATTTCATTTTGAACTTGACGATTTCATTATCAACTTGCTTAGTCCCAAAATGACTTTGATTAGTTTCAAATTGAACTTGAAATGGTATATTATTCAAAACAACACAAAAAATGAGAAATTAAAAACATCCAAAATCACCCTCCTTGAAAATGTCTAAAGAAGCTGTCGAAAGCGTACAATGGAAAATACAGACAATTTTTGCACTTCCTTACGCCCACGAAACGGAATAAATGTAAGAATGCTGAAAAAAACTAAATAAAAATTAAATTTTCCTTGTCTGCCATATTCAACGATATATATATATATATATATATATATATATATATATATATATATATATATATATATATATATATAAATTTAAAATGCTAAAATTTCTAACAATTAGTATGTCAGACAAAACAAAATAGTATATAAAAAATAGTATATAAAAAAAGTCATACGTCTGACAAATTCAAGTACAACTAAAAAAAATCTGTTGTCTCAAATCGTCTGAGTCTCCAGTCTCATCTCGAAAGTCAGCTGTTTTTGTTTTTCTTTTGGAGAAAATTATGAAACTTTTAAATTTGCGACCTTTAGACAACATTTTCGACAGCCCACCCCTCATGATGTTAACGCCTAACATTGACACGGTTCTTTTAGCTGGTGCCAGTTATGGTTAAGTCATGTAAATCTCAGAGTATTGGGAAAATCTTTTGCACGCTTTGTTTGAAGCAAGGATTCCAGTCTTCAATCGAATTTGTCAGTTTGATTCTTTTTTCCAATCATAATCTTTTTCTAATGCGATCGATCAATAACGGGATTGATTTGAATATATCAGACAAAATGATCAAAGCCAAATTTTATTGATATGTTCTCCGATATCATGTCTCCCTACTTATGCTTGAAGTGTGTCCGAAATTTGAATAAGTGTTTTCAAAATCGAGACAGAAAATAAGGTTACTGCTTTTGATTTCGATTTTCAATTCTAGGTAAGCATTATTCGAGATAATTTATTGCTATCTTCCTGCTATAAACATTACTACTTCCTGCACTTATTCTAAGTTTTAATTTTCTCGGAGAAATGGTTTATTTAAGTAATAAAAAACAGGATTTCTAATCTTAATTTAAAAACTTCTTGCATTCATCAAAAACTTTTAACGCTGCACAATTTTCAGATTCTCTTGCAATTATTGTGGAAATAAATATGAACAAATATGAACAAATATGAACAATGACTAGCGAGTATATTAATCAACATGGCCTCTTGCTGTTGTTCCCTGGTTCACCCTGACTCGGGTGGTAGCACCTATTAGGGTCCCAGCTATAGGCAAATAATGACCCCCCCCCCAATAAAACAAAACAGATTTTATGGTAAAAATACCAGCAATAATTTTTTATATATAAAAATATCAATAATACATTTTATAGCAAAATGGCCAAGATTACATTTTATCTGTAGTTGAAGGTATACAATTGCGTTCAAAATATATTCAGTTGAAGGCATAAAATTGTTGATGTGATAGAATAATGTGAAACACCCGTGAGTGGCGGCACTATAGGTAGTAACCGCTTATATGTATCCGTTAGGACAGCGGACAGGAGAGTCGCGCAAGGATCTTTTCCAGCTGCGCTAGTCGAACTCTCTGGCTTCGGGCAGAGTGGAACCCGGGCGAGGCTATGCCGAAGGGCAGAGTTTCGTCCGGGGAGGTAGACAGACCAGATCCCATTCATGCGGGGTCTACGGTGATTTTTTGGCCGAGCCTCCTAGCTTGGGAACCCCACTTTAAATTCGGCCTTGTGCCACATGTGACTGCGTGAGGCAGTTGCTAAATAGCGTCGAGCTGGGCTCTGCGAGAACTAGCGGCCTTCAGATAGCAGCATGCACACAACTGTACTGACTTGCGATGACCGTGCACATAACTATTACTTCCTTGCTTGTTGTACTGGTTTCTACAATAAACCTGTTACTATTTATCCACCATGTTTGTCCATTCCATATTCCTATTAGCATGGAATATAACAATTGTGTTCAAAATATTTAGATTTCAGCATTAAATAACCCATAGAGGTTGATAAACAAAATCCATCAACCAACCAACCGACATGAAAGAACTCTTTCATGGCATGAAGCCATATAATATCCTACAATTTCTTAAAGAAACCAAATTGTATTCCAACATATAACTTCAACAAACTACAGCATAAAACACACGCATCACCGTCTCTAGTAATTACGTACACACAAACATGTATATTCGCAAAAGCTGAGTATGTATTCAATTGTAAAAACAGAATAACATAAATAATATATTTATAACTTCAAAGCTCCCAAGAAAATAAAATTTCGGCATTAAATGACACATGAGTTGATATACTGTTAAACAAATAAATCAATCATTAGATAGAACAACGAGCAATAATGACAGCAATTTCGTCTGTATATGAAATATTACACAATGTAAAGGCGTTTATATTGCATATTGATATGTCCACGATATCTCCATAACAGCCAAAGAAGCATGTCAAAATCATAAAATACATAGCATATTCCCTCCACCTCTTTCACTAACTCTCTCTCTCTCCATATATATATATATATATATATATATATATATATATATATATATTTATATGAAAAATCATAATATAAATATAACATAACATCACTACAAAAATAAATTTTGTAGTGATTTTATAACATAATTATGTTATAATTTTCGTATAAATATATTTACTCTATTCTGTATTGAGCAACTTTTTAAGAATAGTGTGTTTTGGTTATTGGAATTTATTCATATATATATATATATATATATATATATATATATATATATTCCGTATACATATATATCAAATAGTATTTTAGTATTATCAATACCAACATCCCCTACACAGACTTTCATGTGGTTTAATTTATATTTTAAGCTTTAGCTTTTATTCTTACTATACACACGCACAAACACAATCACACACACACACACACACATATATATATATATATATATATATATAATGCTAACGATAATTTTATAATTCTCTTTTAGTTTTTTAACTTATTTAACTAGAAAATGGAATAAAGAGATAGAGAAAATGAGGTTATTCTATTGGAATTTGGTCTCCCAAAGAAGGAACCCGCATGATACACAAGATACATGACAAAATCATTTTTATAAGTTAAAATTTAGGTGTCGCACGATACGCGGTATATATATATATATATATATATATATATATATATATATATATATAACCAGTGATAGGTTTGCAATTTAACATAGTATTATTATTATATATTATCGATATAACTATCTATAATATATTAGATATGTAATTCAGAGTAATTAGTTTGTAAATGGCCTGAAATTTTAAAGATTTAGTGTTTATAGTTCCATCTTTGTGTATAATTAAAATTGTGAAGCAAATAGATTCCGTTAAAATTAAATGTGCAGTGAAAGTCAATCCTTCTTTCATCATTAGACAACGGATTTATTGATATATATATATATATATATATATATATATATATATATATATATATATATATATATATATATATATATATAAAATATGTGATTTGAAAATATGAACCAAATGAATTTGATCTATATGATATATATCCATATATGTAAAGTCTATGTGAAGGACATAGGAGTTATTTTGCTTAATACTAGGAAATGATATGAGCCAAATACCTTATCAGACAACAGCTGGTAGCAAGTGCGGGAATAGAAGACTTCAGTAATAGAAGCCTATCGATCCATGCCGAAGGTGCTGTCTAGTCTCGACACCTTTGTACTTTGTGTGTGGTTTCGATTGGGTCGATATGACCGATGGGAAAGAACGCTTTTTGGGTGGGGTAAAAAGCGTTTCGGTGGGAAATGCAGAGGCTTGAAACGAAGAGATGATAGAAAACGATTTTGTTTGGTTGGCGCGAGAATTAACTGTCATGCAATGGCCACCTTACTTGAATGGAAGCCAATTAGATGGAAGATACATTTTCGATGCGACAAGATCAGACAGGCTTGCAAGATT